ATGGTGGTAGGACACTGAGATCTGAGGTTCATGTTTCAAAACCAGCCTGGACAGGAAAGTCTTTGAGACTCTTATCTCCAATTAACCACAAAACAACAACAAAAAACCCACAGAATACCAGCACACAAACACACACACACATACACAAATACAAATGCTGCTATTCATCTGTATGATAACATTTGTGGACCATTTTGACAAGTTAATTTTCAGGTCTGAGTAGAGCATGGTTCATGCATCAAGCACAAATTATTTTTGTTCAAACCATCAGTTTTAGGACAGAAGCTAACTTACTAGTCAGAAGCAGCTTTCTTGGGGAGCTATGTGGATATACTGCTAATCAGTATCTCTGTTTTGACTTGCAACTAATTTTGCTCATTTCAATTTACTGTCTAGGACACTTTGGTTGTCATACAATAACTAGGTAAACCAGTGAGTTGTATTAGGAAGAACCACAGCATTGTTGTTTTGATTTTAGGACTAAAGAAATATCCCATTGCCATTTATATCACCTGACAAGTGGCCATAGACACAAAATGGTACTCAGAAGTGCAAAAGGCTATTTTCAATGTCTGTAAGAAACTGGCACCACTGGGTTACTTCCTTTAATCCAAGTGACTTTGAGATAGGTTCTGTTATTGAAGCACAGGGAGATTAAGTAACTTCTATGGCTCCTCAGTCAACAAGTAAGTTGCAGGGATGGAACTTGAGCCTAGGCAGCATGACTGCAGACTCAAACTCCGTTATGCTGCCTCTCCTAACTAAACAGGTATAGCTAGTGCCATCATATAGATATGTTACAAAGAACCCAAGGAGAGAAAGCAACTTGCCCAGGATCTCACAAGTGGTGAAATATAGGTATCTTCCTAGTATAACAATACCTATTTTTTGGAAGTCATCTTTCACTTCCTTCTTCCACAATCTTGATTTCTTTTTTTTCTTTTTTTTTTTTTTTGGGTCCAGTCGTGGGGCCTGAACTCTGGGTCTGGGTGCTGTCCCTCAGCTCTTCAGCTCAAGGCTAGCGCTCTACCACTTGAGCCACAGCACCACTTCCGGCTTTTTTCTTTTTGGTTATGTGGTGCTGAGGAATCGAACCCAGGGCCTCAGGCATGCAAGGCAAGCGCTCTACCACTGAGCCATCTTCCCAGCCCCCACAATCTTGATTTCTGCTCCCTAGAGGTAAACATTCTAAACATTTAAAAAACTTTTCCCCTATAATTCACTTTTATAACTTTTTTCTTTTTTCCCTTCCTTCCCTCCCTCCTTTTCTTGCAGTCTCTTAATATGTAGCCCAGGATGGCCTTTAACTCTTGACCTCCTCTTATATGCTGGGATTACAGCTGTGCCCATCATGTCCAACATCACTTATACAATCTAAATATGCTTATCAGAATCTGTTTCACCAGGCACTGGTGGCTCACGCCTGTAATCCTAGCTACTCAGGAGGCTGAGATCTGTATTGAAGTTCAAAGCCAGCTGGGGAAGGAAAGAGTATGAGACTCTTATCTCCAATTAACTACCAGAAAACTGGAAGTGGTGCTGTGGCTCAAAGTGGTAGAGCACTAGCTTTGAGCAAAAGAGCTCAAGGACAGCACTCAGGCTCCGAGTTCAACTCCATGATTGACACCCCCCCACCTCCCCCCCCAAAAAAATGATTCTAGATTTCTCAGTTTTATGCAGTTTCTGCTTTTTACCTCTGAAGACAAGATTTCACTCTTTACTGTCTTCCCTCACTCTGGAATCCTTCTGAACAGCTATAATTTTTTGTTAGCTCAATATTCTCTTACTTAAAGATTATGTGAGGAGCTGGGAACGTGGTTTAGTGGTAGAGTGCTTCCCTAGCATGCATTAAGCCCTGGGTTTGGTTCCTCAGTACCACATAAACAGAAAAAACCAGAAGTGGTGCAGTTGCTCAAGTGTTAAGAGTGCTAACCTTGAGCAAAAAGCAGCTCAGGGACAGTGTGCAAGCCCTGAGTTCAAGCCCCAGGACTGGCAAAAGAAAAAAAAAAAGACAATGTGAACATACATGGTTGAGTCACGTGGTATACTGCAGTTACATTTTTTATCGGCTTAGAAGAACAATGCTGGCAATATATCATAATACTTAATTTTTAAATATGCTACCAAACGACAGAACTGTACTACACGAGCATATATTATAGTAATAAAATCAATATGGTACCAGCATAAAACCAAGATTTGCAGACCAAAGAAACAGAAGACAGAAATAAGCCCAAGTAGGTATTGCCACTTGATTCTTAACAAAGAGAACAAAAGCATACAAGTGGTAGGAAAAATGGGTATCCATGTGTAGAAAACTTAAATTAGATCTCTATCTCCCATCATATACAAAAATCAACTCAAAATTGGTGTAAGTCCATAATTTAAGACCTGAAACGTTTGAAACTAGAGAAAAACTTAAGGGAAACACTTGATCAATGCTAGGCAAGAATTTGAACAGGATTCTTCAATTGTTCAGGAAGAGCAAGAATTGAAAAATGCGACTGTATTCTGCTTCTGCACAACAAAAGCAAACAGTCAACAGAGTGGACACAGCTGATAGAATGGGAGAAAATACTTGCTAGATATTTGACAGGTTAATATCTTGAATTTACAAAGAACTGAAAGATTAAACAGTAAAAATGCAAACACTTTAATATTGTTCTTAATTTCATTGCACACTTTTATTTTGTGAGGTAGGGTATTGCTCCCTGCCCTGGGCAGTAGCTGGACCATAATCCTACTTTTTGTTTATCATAGCTAGGATGACAGCATGTGCTACCAAGAGGTATAATAATGTAACAGGCTCTGTGCTTCTAGGAATATTACCCTAGGCTTGATTGCTAAATGCACCTGTGTCCAGCCATTAAGCTTCTGATTGGCTTAGGTTGGCCACAAAGTTGACTGTAATATTTGACACAGATGCCTCAAGTGACCTATTCATGAAAAGTGTGGTCAGATAATCTAAAAGGACATTGAGACTTCTTTAAACTTAAGAGCCAGGTATATAAACTGCTGTTACTACTTGCTATTAAATGTTTAATGAGAAATTCTGGGTAAGGCAAATAGTCTGACCTTTGCCATATTAGAAAGTTAGTAAGTAACATTACCTAGCTAATTGATTGTTGGAAAAATTATGAAGACTTCTGGTACTTTTGAGTTACTCTCAATTATCACTCAACCATCACCTATTTATCAAAGCAAGTTTATTTGATTACTTATTCCAGATAAATAAGGCTTATGTGTACAACTAAGAAATAAGACAATTCAAATAAATGGCAGGAAAAATTACTGTGGACTATATAAACAGCTGTCTAGAAAGCAACAGCAGCTGCATTCATTTTACAGAATACTGTGGGATGATGTTGTATCATTTATAAAGATATCCTAAGTAGTTTATAAAATAATTGCATGGGTCTTTGCTACAATGTAGCAGTAGCTTAAAAATTACCATAAACTGAATAACTTTATATTCAACTAGTTTCAAAAGATTATATAAAAATTATTCCAGAAAAAATATAGGGAATTTGAGAGGGGACCTTATACAATTCTTTCAGAAAACCCTAAGGAAATAATTACCACTATTGACACTGGTTTCCTTCCATCATCTATCTACATTATTTGTTCTGTTCACAACTGATTTAAATGATACACTTTGGACAATTTATTAGGTAGTTGTCTAGTTAAATACAATTTTATTTATATGAAAATAGATATTTAGAGTTAAAGAATTTGTATTTATTCATCTGTTCAGTCTGTTCTACAATGAATAAACTTGTGAGGACCAAGTGAGAACTTTAAAGCTATTAAGCTCAAAGGATTAGGATCTTCTATTTCCTACCACTTCTAATAATTACTCTAAGGTATTCACTTGGCCCACCTTTCAGTTAAATTTATGACACTTGCATTTGACCTTGTTAATGAACCTAAGTTAACGTGAGAACACTTCTAAACCTAACGATAAACATTTTTCAATACACAGGCCACATTGCCTTTTCATCTGAAGTCTATAAAGAACCTTAGAAACACGATGTTTATGAAACTGTACCAGCCCCTTTTATTAGTTAAGAGCTACAGTACATTTTTAGAAATATACTGCAGTGAAATCAAATGGTGAAAACTGTTAATATTCTAGGACTGTTCAATTCTGGTGGTTCCTACTCTCCTTCCCTTTTGGAGGTCATGAGTCACTGATGAAAGTTATGAACTTCCCTCTAGAATTGCATATAAATAAAAACATATATAATGATACAAAGGAATTCCTAAAGATTCATGATCCTCAAGTTAGGATTTCCTATTTCAAAACTGTAGAACATAGTGAAAAGTAACTTCAGCCCTTTTGACACTGCCATTTTCACTGTTACCATAGTAAGCATTTAAATAATACTAATAAATGGCTGCCATAAGGGAAAAAAGTCTTTTTTTAGCACCAATATAAACTTTGAAAATTTGTTTTCCTGCCCCCGTTTTACAAGATGTTATCATAGTACCTTTGGTCTCAAATTGTTTTTGAAGTTTAAAGCAACATATAACTATTTTTTCCCTTTGATATATGCCATTTTCTAGAACCAGTTTCTTAAAAGTGAGCAGATTAATACTTTATGAAAACAACATGTGTCTATGTTAAAGAATGGGCTGAGTTCATAGAATATATTTCTAGTTATAGTTTCACACTTGAAACAAGTATGAAACACATGTAGTTAATACTTCTGAATGTAACATTTAATTCTACGCCCTATCTTCTCCTTTTACTTGGAACAAATTAAACAGGCCTCCCACTATGATAATGAAATGTAATGAAAGTCCTTTCTACTGGTCATTATAGGAAAACACTTCCTTTCAGAACAAACTACCATCTCTAAAGCATCTGATTAACTCAGAAGCTGGCAAGTAGGTCGAATAATATTGTCTTTAATGATTCTGATGTTCAATTATTGACGATGTCTGAATAGCATGGTGAATGAAACTTTAATCCAAGAGAAATGACTCTATGATAGTATAGGACTAGACTTGTTTTATTCCTGAAGAAAAAACTCATCACTCCAAAACAGTATCCTTACGGATACATAAAGAATTCTTAAGAGACTGTAAAGGCTGATTTAAAAGCAGAGGATACGAAATATACAAATGTATATGTATCAAAAATATAAAATTTAATCAAATCCATTACCAAATAATTTTTCAGAATTCAAAGTTATATGACAATTATTAGGTCCTAGGTTTACTTTTGTTCAAATACAGTACTTATAGAACAAATTCAAAATATCTGAATTTAAGAAAGAGGTTGACTAAACAGAAGCTGTATCTTTGTGATGAGATTTCATTCTTGTCTTTTGCTGCTGTGTAAAAAATGAATAGTAGAACAATCTTTTTTTTTCATTGCTTTTCTTTACTTCGTTTCTTTATGTTTCCTTTGTAAAAGTTAAAACGTAAGAATTTTCACATCAGAGACTTTGGGGTCAAGAAAAAGGAGTGGAAAAGAGATAATACTACACTCTGACAACCTGAATTCAAGAACTTAAACTCAAAGGTAAAGGGTTTGCAAGTAAAACAGATTTCTGTACCTGCATGAACTAGATGGCATCCCATGAGTCCAATAAAGCAAACATCCAGGTATTTCCCCCTCACAAAATGTACCACTTGTGTTTTTCCTGCTGGACCTACTAACTGCTGGATAAGAGATGAAGAAGTTAATATATTCTGGCACTCCTGACTGTGATTCTATAAATTTTCATTTTAAATATAATTCAAGTATAATGCACATTAAAAAATTAGACTAAAGATAGACAGTAAAGATTTTAAACGTTTCTCTTTGAAAAGATGTATCTTACAGTACATACAAAAATACTCTGAAAATACATACGACTTCATTTACAAAACACTGAATCAACATATTACAAGAATTACATGGTTATGGATTTTAATAAACAGCATGCATTCATGAAACTTAAAAAATATTAAGAAATGCACTGAAAAAAGCAGTGTAAAAAAGGACAACTCATAGTTAAATAAAAATTACAAAGGACCTGAGCCAATTGATGGTTGGTAACAGTGTCATCCAAAAATGCCTTTAGGTTTCAATAAATTCCACTGCTTATTTCTGCATGCCTAGTCTTTGAAGAAACTGTTGGTGGAGTTGTGGGGTAAGTTATGGTCAGTATTATCATGCTGAGTGAATTTTATACCTAAAAAAATACAAGTTGGCCATACTTAAAGATATCTTATCACTGATGGTAAAATGAGTTGTTCCTCAATATAAAATACCAATTAACAAGAATGGCATGAAATAGGATATGGAATAATTTCACCATTCATATACTGACTTTCAGTATCCTGGTTACATTTTGATTTTTAATAAAGATGCATTTTTAGGGCCTCCATGGGAGGCAAAAAATAGAGAATTTATGGTGTCCAACTCTTTTGTAATCACTGGACTAATCTCCCTGGTAATGATGCAAATATTTGGACAGAAAAGTACAAAAAAATAAATATTCCATATGCCAATCTGGAAAATAATAATTTAAAACAACAGGACAGTACATCTACACAAATGAGAAAAGCAAAAAAATTATCTCACATTCATTATAATCTCAGGTTTCACAAATTGGCATCAATGTTAAAGTAAACACATTAATACTTAGAAAATTACAAGAGAATTTTTTTTTTGTTTTCTGCTTTTTTAGCATTATACAATGATTACAACATAAGACTTAAAAAAAAAAAAATGGTTCAGGACTTTTTATAACAGTGTCCAAGTGGCCAAGAACTGGCTCCCATAACAGAGAAACAAACAAAAAGTTAAGGCAGTAAAACCTCCAAATGCATGTTGTAGATGACAATCTGGTAGCAGGTGATCCTCATAGGAGTGTGTGTAGCAATCAGTGAGGGAATGCTACAGCATCTGCAGGTCAAAGTGAGTTCAAAAACCACTTCAAGGTTGTTAGACTGAAGACTGTAACTCACCTATTTTATGGATGGCAGCCATTTCTACTTTGAAGAGTAGCTGCACCTATGCCACTATCTGACTGCATGTTCACATAAGTGAGGAGATACTGCTTTTACCGATTAAGGGTCAATCGAATGGAATTTTTGATAACACGTATGTTATTCGCTGGAACTGGAGATGATGAATCTGGTAGTTCTTTACTGGGTAGTCTCTATTAAAAAGAAACAGAAAAAAATGGTTAACGAGTATCTATCTATCTACACACACAAAATTAATCTAATAAATCAGCCACAGACTTATTCTTAAGGTGTTTTTCTTTTTTATCTCTTAAGCTCCTAAATATTAAAGTGTGTTTTAAGTACTTCTTTCTGATGTTCACATTTCTTGCTTTTGAAACTTTTAAAATAGTTAAAAAGTTAAAAAGCAGGAACAGGGACAAGGGAAGCAGCATGGGTACGAATATAAACAGGAAAAAGGACTTAGTTAACTCAATCACCATTCCTGGATTTAAAAATGCATAAATAAACCTCCAGTGTTGCCACCTTTATGCTAGAGGATGGCATTGAGAAATAGGAAGCTCATGATGATAGAACAGGAAACACATAGGCATGAAATGAAAATGAAAAATGAAAAATGTTTCAAAGGAAGGCTTAATAGCCAAGTTATAGCCCTCAACTAGTGTCTATAATACATTCATGGAGAACACTAACCCAATTTTGAGATAACTTTTCTGAAGTCTGGCTAGGTGACTTTACTGTGTGAGGAATTCTGAGAACACTAAAATAATTATATAAGAAAAGCAAATCTAAGAAACTGAGAAACAAAGACTCCTAAAAAATTAATTTTGTGCCAGGTGCCAATGGCTCATGCCTGTAATCCTAGCTGATACTCAGGAGGCTGAGATCTGAAGATAGCAGTTCAAAACCAGGCCATGCAGGAAAATCTGTGAGACTCTTATTTCCAATTAACCAGAAAACTGGAAGTGGTGCTGTGGCTCAAGTGGCAGAGTGCCTGCCTTGAGCTGAAGAGCTCAGGGACAGTGCCCAGGCCCAGAGGTCAAGTCCCATGACTTGTGTGATAGATACTTACTCTTTATATTTGAAATACTTTAAAGCCGAAACATGATATTTCATCTTTATATTTTAATATGTACCTCAGTTTTTTCTTACATATAATTAGTATAGTTATATACCAACATTTTTTTGTCACTCAATCTTGTGTTTACAAATTCTGTAACTGATAGACTATGAGGCTATTGTTCTGCTTTATAAGGGCCAATAATATAGCCTGGGGAACCTGATAGGGTAATAGTTTCGCTCAAGGCTATTACTCTACCATTTGGGCCACAGTTCTACTTCTGGCTTTTTAGTGGTTAAGAGTCTCATGCACTTTCTTGCCCAGGCTGGCTTTGAACTATGATCCTCTTATCTCCAGAACAGCTGGGCCTATGAATATGTGCCACCTGTCCAGCTTATGCTTTAAAATTTTTGCTTATTTACATTTTTTGAAGGTTGTGGGGCTTGAACCAGCCACCAGGCTCCACAAGTTACCAATGCCTGGCTTTTTGAACATGTGGTTCCTCCAAACACTAATGTGTATGATTTCTAATATTCAAATGAAATAATGCTTCATTTGACAATAGTGTACAGAACAAAAGCTAAGTTTTCATTTCTGTAAGAAACTCCTGTTCTTAGTAACCAAGTATTCCTCTACAGATAAATAAAAACAAGGTAGGGGCTGGCACCAGTGGCTCATGTCTGTAATCCTGGCTACTCAGGAAGCTGAGATCCAAGGATCACCATTTGAAGCCAGCCTGGGCAAGAAAGTCCATAGACTCTTATCTCCAATTAAGCACCAAAAAAATTGGAAGTAGAGCTGTGGGTCAAGTGGTATAGTGCTAGTTTTGAGCAAAAAAGCTAAGGCATAGTCTAGGATCTCAGTTAAAGCAGGACCTGCACAAAAACAACAACAAAAGAAACCCAAAAAAATTAGAAACAAAAAACAGGAATGAATATAAAGAAATCATGATGCCTTTTTAAGCTACTCTCCCTTTGATGTATGAATGTTCAAGACTATACAATTTGTTTGCTACCTCCAACCTTAAGGGTAAATATACTACTAGGACTTGAGAACAGGGACAAAGGTTTTTTGTTGTTATTGTTTTTTGTTTTCCCATGTTAGGCTCTTAATATGCCTTTTTTAATTCATTTTAACCTATGTAATAAGACTTATTACCTTTTTACGTGATGTATCAATAGTTGGAATAGGCATAGATTCTCCTCCAATAGTATCCTAAGAAAAGAGTAATTATATACAAGTTTAAACTTTACTATATGCAACACACTGATACTTAAAGCATAATGAAAACTTGACAGACCTGATCTGACTTGCTTTCTAAAGTATTTTATTGTGTTAGTATTAGGGCTTGAACTCAGGGCATAGGCGTTGTCCCTTAGCTTTTTCACTAGAAGCTGACATTCTGCCCCTTGAGCCACAGTTCCACTTCTGGCCATTTGGTGGTTAACTAAAGATAAGAGGATCCCTGAGTGGGCTGGGTTCAAACTGTGATTCTCAGATCTCAGCCTTCCTACGTAGCTAGGATTACTATTTAGTAAATCAGCCACTGGTGAACAGTTAAAAGTGCTTTTCTAATCTTTAAAAGTAAATATTCTAAAAACATATTATTAATGTATTTACCACTGATTTTCCTGTTCTCTCTTCAGCAACACGGGGGTCCTTAAATGCTGATTCAAGTCGAATAAACTAAGATGATAAACATTAAAAGAAAGTTGCTATTATGTATCTGCAAAGATCATAGAAATTTATGTAAACTGGGAAATTATAACCAAAAACTACTAAAATTTAATTTATTACAATTTAAATTAGAATGAATTTAACCACTGTTCTTAATTTTTACATTTTAATTTAAAATTTTACATTTAAAATTTTACATTTTAATTTTAAAATCAATTCAGTCTAAGGAAAAAAAAAAAAGTTTTGCTACCCCCTACTGGAAATACCTAATATTCAAGAAATGACATAATTGGGTTAGCAATAGTGACTTTTGTGTGAATTGAGGAGAAACTTAGATCAATCATTAAAATATTCAGCCGGTGCCAATGGCTCACAGTTGTAATTCTAGCTACCCAAGAGGCTGAGATCTGAGGACTGTGGGTGGAAGCCAATCAGGTTTAAAGTTTGTAAGACTCTTTTTTTTTTAATTTAATTTTATTTTATTTGAGAACATACTGTACAGAGGGGTTACAATTACATGGGCAGGATAATGTATACATTTCTTACCAAGCATTGCAGCCAAAGTTTCTAAGACTCTTATCTCCAATTAACTACCAAAAAAGGAAAGTGGAATTGCGGCTCAAGTGGTAGAGCACTAACCTTGAGCATAAAATCTCAGGAACAACACCTAAGCCTCTAAGTTCTCAGCATCCAGGATGGGCACCAAAAACAAAATAAATAAAAATTCAGACCCATCAGTAATTTGAATTAAAGATAACAATAAATATTGTCCTCTAAAGTCAACTTCTTATGGAAAACTAAAATATGTACAGCAAATTTGAGTTTTTCTACTATCACTTTAACATAAAACGTATAGACTCACTACTGAAGTTTTAACTTTACCTTTTCTATATCTTTCAACCTCTTAGAAGTTCCATCTATGGACGGGGAATGGGATCTTTTGGGTATAAGATTCTTAGCTATATTTGACATTCCATTTAGATGTGGTTGTCCCTGGGTAGGGTTGTGGGATGTTGTGATTCTAGGAATGACATTTCGTCCTACTACAGTAGGAATGGTACACACAGCTGGGGTCGATACAGCTTTTACCGTAGAGTCAACCTCTGAAAAGGAGAAAAACAATTTTAATAATTAAATATTTGTGAAATTAAATAATTAATAATGGAAGCTTAGATACCTACTTGCACCAATGACTGGAATAGATAGTCCTTGAGCTGGTGGGACATGCAATGGCTTCTCCACAATTATACTAGCAGGCTCAGCACTAGTCCTAATAAAAGTGTCAAATGATAATCATTAAATGATTTAAATGTTCCTTATTTTTAAAAGCTTTAAACATAGAATTACTTCTTTCTAGTACTGTTATTTTATTCAATGAAGGAAAGGGAGAGAAAGGTAGAGGTCTCAATGAGAATTAGCAGAAAAATCTAAGCACAAAATCTGTTTCTTTATACTTGATTCCTACATGCTCTGAACCTCATGTTCTCTCCCACAGCTCTACAACAGGTTGTCAAGTACTTAGCCAAGTTATGGAAAAGTCCCTACTATTCATAAATAACTGAACAGGAGACTGAAAGTAGTATTTTGATATACACACCTTTCTGTTTCTCCAGGAGGGCTATCTGGTTTGGAAGGTTTGTTTGTAGACAATGGAGAATTAAAAGGTGTTCCATTGTCAGTATCTCTGGAGCTATCCAGACAACTGCTATCCAGAGATAATCTTTTGGATTGACATCCACCTGAACTTCGACTGACATCAGAGAGACTTTGCTGAAAGAAAGAACAGTTATTAGAATTTCAAACAGCACCTAAGAATAAAAAGTCTAGCTTTAATTCTAAAGTGCATTTAAGCAAATTATCTCTTGTGATTACTGAAGCTAAAGATTTTAGTCCTAAGACTGAATTGTCTACATCTTTTCTCTTTTTCTCAATAGATTTGGAAAATATATAAATTAAAATGTGGTCCCAAGATCATTTGCATGAGTGGAACTATGAGAGTGAGTTAAGATTATAAATTCACCTTTTTCTTCTTTTGAAGAATCTCTGCTGGAAGGTAGTGATGAAGTTGTTTTTTTTTTACATGAGTTGCTTCAATTTTCATTCCATCCTTCAGCATGTTTATATTGTTTGCCTGTCTGTACACTGTAACAATGTAAATATGTTAAATGGGAAACTTCTGAATCAAGAAGTTCTCTTTTTCTGGCGTGCATATACCTTCAGTATTTCCCCCAACACATATACAAATACTGATACATGTCTTACAAGTATTTCAAAAACACTTTCATCATGCCACAATCCTATTCAAGAATTGACTAGTTCTACCTGTTTCATCTTATTAAGACTTTCCCATAATCAAAGCTTGTTAACAAAATAAACAGAAGACAGTACTTTTCCCCCAAAAGCTTTCTCCAAATCTTGACTTATTAATTTTCCCCAAAGGGAAACTCTTCTCCTAATTATTTGCCCAAGGCAAAGCTAATTCTCAGGAGAAGAGGAGGAAAATGCAGAAAAATCCAATATATATCCTACAAAATTAAGAGTAAGGGAAGAGGTGGGTAGGGGAGGGATGGGTAAGAATGTTGACAGTTGTGACTTTGACCAAGATAGATTGTATTCATTTTGTTGCTTTGTTAAATGGCAAGCTCCTCTGTACAACTACTTGAAAGATACTTTTAAAAAGTATAAATTAAAAAACTAATTCTTACACCAAATATCCAAGATGCAAATAACAGTTCTCCCTCTTCCATGTTGTTTCTTTTACTTTTGTAGCTCACATCAATCACAGAATCTAAGATTCCAAAAACTTTATAGATATATTTTTAGTATAGGTGGAAAAAGGTGAATCAACAGGCCTGAACACCTTGCCTGGATCATAATACAAATAGCTCTAAATTCTCATTCTATAGTGCTTCTTATAACTTGCTATGGGCCAGTTATATTAATTCTTACACAGATTAATATATTTTAACTGTGAATACTCAATTAGAAAATAAGTGCTCTGAAAGCAGGGACGCTGAGGCTTGTTTTGCATAACAATTACTTGTGAAAATGGTCAATTATTTAATCCTTTACACCACAATTTTCCACATCTGGAACACAATGTTTTAGAATTCTATTGTTAAATAGAGTATCTTAACCACCTTTTTGAAAAAACTGAGTTCTAATTAAAGTGGAAAAATGTATATCTATGTTTTTATTGTAGATTACTTATAATGATCAGCAGTGCTTGTTCAAACTGCAGATACTGAGTTCTTCTTCCAAAGTATAATTTAGCAGTTTTAAGCTGAAGCTTAGGGAAATATATTATCATGATAAATATGAAGGCTAGTTCCGAAAAGGCTAGAAACTCAGATGAACTAATAGTAACTGTCGGGGAGTATACTATTCCAGATTAATACAAGCCTAAATTTATAAATGATTAAAATGTTCTAGGGAGCTGTGAAAGATATTCTTATCATTGAAATGTATTCAAGTAAGACTATTGATTTTTTTTCATATAAAAAAACAAAAATCAAGTCATCTTTATGACTGTGATTACAATCCCTGGCTGTGCACACATACAGAATCACCTGTGGAATTTGTTTTCTTTCTGCTTAAAACAGGTAATACAGTTAAATGGTACAAAACTCAAAAGAGTTTGAGTATTTACAGAAGTCTCCTCACCCCGTTCCTTGGACACATTGGCTGGTTCCCTAACCTAGAAGCAACTGCCTTTGCCATGCTTTTTATTTTATTTTTTTAAATTAAGTATCCTTTCTGAGGTGTTCTACACATTTTAAGTAAACATGTGTGTGTGTGTGTGTGTGTGTGTGTGTGTGTGTGTTTTCCCTTTAAATATATGGAAGCACACTAGATATATAGTTCTACAATTCCCATAATATGTCTTAGCAATTGCATAATCATGCTTTTCATTATTTTAACAGTAGCACAGATCTCCACAATATGGATACACTGTTTCGTTTAACCAATTGTGGGACTTGAAAATATATAGCCAGCTAGATCCTAGACAGATGATGCTGAGTTACAGCCAAAGTTGAGAATCACAGTTCTATGATGACAAAATCTTACCTGTATCAGTAAATGACTGTATATCATATGTCAAGTCTATGTTAACACTTTCTGCATTTTCTACTCTCCGAAAAATTATCCCGAGGAACCACATTGATACGTAATTGTTGCTATAAAGTAAAATTTAAGAATTTCCATTAATTGTTTTTATAATTTTACAGATGCTATTTGGTAATTAAAACTTAGTTACTAATGTCTCTATCTCATTAATAGAGATTTCAGTGATTTGGCCATATTCTTAAAAATTACCATCCAGATCACTGATACTCTGTATTGGTCTAACGAGGATTAAGTGGCCCTGAAAATGACTCTCTGAATATATTTTTATAGATGCTCTAAATATTGTAATGGAGGTGCTGGAGTCTATTGGCTATTGAAGTAGTACATACTCATTTTTCACCAATGGTCACTTACACAAACATGTACTACATCCTCCCCTGTCAAGGCCTTTTTTAATGACAATCTCACAACTAATCTGAAATAATGTATATGCTAATAACATTGTTTAAGAAACACCGTATTAAAATCAACTTACTCTTTATGGTGTTCCTTATTTCCTGGAAATGACTGGGGATTCACATGGGCAAGAGTAATAAATTCATTCCGTTCCAAGTTTCCAACAAGTACACGGATTTTAGACTCTACTAATCCAACCCTAAAACAAACAGGCAAGATTTTTCTTATGACCACATCAAAATTGGAAACCACATTGAAGTAAATCAAACAGCATATCAACTATGAAAACTTACATTTATTAAAAAAAGCTAGCCCAATTATAGTAGGTACTCTTCAAAATACCAACCAAGTGATAAATTTAATAAGTTTTTGTGTGTTTTTAGAAAAACTGATCTACACAAAGCATGCGTCAATCTAAAATACCCTGTCTGTCTTGGTAAGACTATAAATCTTGATTGGGCATGAACAAAAATTTTGGTTAATTTGATCTTCAATCTTTTTTTCTATTTTGAAGTTTTATGTTGCTAACAACTGGAACATAAATTTATGAAATCAGTATGTTTTGCACAAAATTCAAATCAGACATTGGAAAAAATTTCATCAGATTGCTTCAATGTCATTTTCTACCTCACTTAAATGTGACTGTCAAATTTACTAGTGACTTTATGAAGTAAAATAAGGTCAAGAACACTAAAATTTTCTAAAACAGAAAAAGCTTACAACATTGTATGCTTCAACATGTATATAGTGACATATATACATATATTTATACACACATATATAAGCATATATATGTATATAAAAGCATACGTATATATCTGAGTTATTGTAGTGTTAGCTAAATGAAAATTGGCAATGTTTTTCTGTGAAGGGCCAAATACTGAATATTTTAAGCTTGTCTCTGTCTTAACTATTCAACTTTGTTGTGAAGCATGGAAATAGTCAGACAACATATTATTGAACAAACATTCTTGTGTTCCACTAAAACTTGAGCCAACCTAGACATATTAAATACTGTTTCAGTAAAAGAATTATTATCAATGAAACAGGATTAAATCTTTGGAGTAACAGTAGGACAGTATTATGCTTTTTTTTCCCCTAAAGTCAGACCCAAGAAAAGTATAACTATCTCTGGTGGCTTAATAGCTGGTCCAGGTATGTGACTATATTAGAAGGAACAAGTTTAGATTTCACTAGAATGGATATGCTGCTACTAGGTCCTAAACATGTCTTATCTGTTTTCTAATTCAACTGTCTCTTAAATTAAAAGGATTTATACAAGCCAGGTGCAGGTGGCTCATGGCTGTAATCTTACCTACTCAAGATGCTGAGATCTGGGAATCATGGTTTGAAGCCAAGCAGGGCAGGAAAGTCTATGGGAATCTTATCTCCAATTAACCACCCAAAAGCTAGAAGTAGAGCTGTGGCTCAAGTGGTAGAATGCTTACCTTGAGCACAAAAGCTCAGGGACAGTGCCCAGGCCCTGAATTCAAGCCCAAAGAATGGCACAAAGAAAAAGAAAAAAAAAAAAAAAGGATATACAAAATGTCTTGAGTTTTGGACAAAACAATGATAAAATGAAGAAACGGGGTGTCAGGATCATTCAGACTACTTCAAAATTTTGCTTAGTCTCATCTGAAAGCAATAAGCATGATCTGTACATATGTAAAGATACCTCAGGTCCCACATGATTCTGAAATACAAATGTGATAACATTTTGTAGTCCCTGAATGCTCCATGGACATGTACATGTACATGTCACCAATAAGATAAATAATATGAAAACCAGTAAAAAAAACTGCTTTAAGTGATAAAGCACCATATAAATAAATTATTAATAACTAGGCACAGGCAAAGAATTTGAAATGTAAGCTTACCATTCTAGATGGTGTTCTTCTGTTGATGCACTGGCAGTCAATACTATATAATGTCTGTGAAGAATGTGCAGTAACAATCAGAAAAACAAAATAAACAACAGAAACAAACTATTAAGACTATTTTTCCATCATTCATATTTCCTTCTTTCTAATGAGAAGAGTATCACAAGCATGCAGTTTAAGAAAATGCAAGTATGTTCTAATTTTCACAAAATTTTGCACCTTATAATTAAGTAAAATCCTTAATACTGGAATCTACTTGTAGAATAAAGAAACTCTATTACCACTTAGGATTTCTATTATTCTCTACTTGCTTACAAAATGTAAGTAATAGCTGTCACCTATCATTTATTAACTCTAAATGTAGCCAAAAGTAGCCTTCTTCAAGGCTTGTGTACCATTTCAGGAAATAACTAGATTTTTTTTCTTTAAATGTTTCTCACTGCATCTTTGATCCGGTCTTTATTCAACTAAGCTGTTCCATACTATTTGGCCTTTATGTCATTAAATAGATTTTAACAGTTTATGTAGCAGGCTTCTTTTCTTCTGTGGTAAGTTTCTTTTCAGCTGTTGGTTTCTTGGTAGCAGCTGCCTTTTCCCCTAAGGCTGCTTCTGCTTTTTAACATCAGCAGCCTTCATTCCTTTCTTACTCACCATAGGCTTCTTCTCTCAAGCTCCCTTTTCTGCAGCTGCCTTTTCATCTAATTTGGCTGTGAGTGCTGCTGCTTTCTTCACTTAGATTTTGGGATTTCTTGTGTGGCAAAGAATGGTGTTCTGGAGTTCTTTGCATATGGGTTCAATTTCAACATGATTCTCAGGTTTTTCAGCAGGTTCTTCTTCTGCAATGAATCTTCTTGCATGATTCTGTAAGGGCTCTTCGGATCTCTGGACTTTGCAAGGTTCTGCTGAAATCTTTATTGATCATCTTGCACAGAGGGAGGTCACAGTTACTCTTGAAACAGCTTTATATCAAGTGCCATACAATTCATTCAAATTTCCAGAAAGCACTTTCAGTCCAAATGCAGAAACACCCCACATGGCCACTAGGAGCAAGTTTTAAAAGGTTCTGTTTGCTTACATTAAGCAAAGTAATTCCAGGAATGTTCCTGAAGGCCTTGCGCTGGTTCTACTGACAGTTTCTCATTTGCCCTTGCCCACACTCATTTGCTGAGAGGTATAGACCTTTTTGATGTCATTCTAGGCTTTCAGTTTCTTAAGAAACAAAACAGTCTCTATGGTGTTTTTTTTTTTTTTTTTTTTTGGGTCTGGTCGTGGGGCCTGAACTCTGGGCCTAGGCACTGTCCTTCAGCTCTTCAGCTCAAGGCTAGCGCTCTACCAATTGAGTCACAGCGCCACTTCCGGGTTTTTTCTTTTTACTTATGTGGTGCTGAGGAATTGAACCCAGGGCCTCAGGCATGCAAGGCAAGCGCTCTACCACTGAGCCACCTTCCCAGCCCAGTCTCTATGGTTTTCTTGTAACCTTCAACTTCATCTTTGACTACCAAAGGAAGTTCAGGAACTTCCTCAGTTTGATGACCTTTAGACATGACCAAAGCTGGTAATGCTGAGACAGCCAGGGCAGAACAGATGACATACTGCTTCTGGGTTGCTAACACCAGGTTTTGGTTGGTGGAAATATGACCTCCTTGACACATATTTCCAAAGGCACCCCTGGCCCAACAGTGGTGGGTCCCACCACCTCACAATCTGGGAATATGAGCCATAGTTCTACCTGTACTCTTAGACTCAGCACTGGTCTGATGACCTGCTAACTCACTGACAGCATAGGGGTGCCTGCTGTTTTTATGCAAGTTCGTATGAACATAGTTTACAATATCTGGTCAAATGAGAGCCTTAAACATGGCAGGTAAAGTGACATTTTTGCCAGATGACTCCTCTTTTCCGAAGTACACTGGTAATGGGCCGAGTACATGCCATGGAAAGGAGAGTAGAGGGTGATGTTCCTCTCATCCCTGCGGCTCCTACAGGAAAAGCTAGCTCTAGTATTTTTTTTATAAAAGCTTTGCATATTAAATAACAGTGTACTTTAGAAGAACTGAAAACCAATAACTCTGGAATCCATTAGTTATAGTGCTTTTCAATAGGTAAAGTAAGGATTTTTTTGTTACTTGTAATTAAGAGTTCCTTAATTTGTGAGAAACATCTTTAAAAGTATGTTTTGGCTTAAAATACAGTAAATGGCTTATACATGCATACACACAAGACAAAATTTCAAATACCTATATTTCTGAAAGAAATTTGGTGGCTCAAGTAGTTTGGACCAATCTGATTTCCCTTGAAGAATTTCATCTGTAACTGCAAGACCTAAACAAAAACATTAAGAGAAACATGTCCGATTTTTGAAACTTGAGCAACATGTATATTACTTTATCCTAACCTCAACAGAAAATCACATACCTCCTACCACACTCCAGCAAAACTGGGGTTTGAATTCAGGGCTTCATATTAGCAGGAAATTACTCAACCAGTTGAGCCACATGCCCAGTCTTTTTTCTCTGGTTCTCTTTGAAGTAGAATCTCAATTTTATGACTGTGCCAGCCTAGACTTGATCCTACTTACACTTCCACCTCTTTTCTAGCCGGGCGCCGGTGGCTCACGCCTATAATCCTAGCTACTCAGGAGGCTAAGATCTGAGGATTGCGGTTCAAAGCCAGCCTGGGCAGGAAAGACCATCAGACTCCTATCTCCAATAAACCACTAGAAAACCAGAAGTGGCGCTGTAGCTCAAGTGGTAGAGCGCTCGCCTTGAGCTGAAGAACTGAGGGACAGTGCCCAAGCCCAGAGTTCAAGCCCATGACCGACAAAAAAAAAAAAAAGAATATTTTTTCTGTTGGGATGGGATGTCCCATGAATGTCTTTTCCCAAGTGGCCTGGAACCACAGTCCTCCTAATCTTAGTTTTCTGCACAGCTAGGATGATGAGCGTGTGTCATCATGCCCCATTACTAGTTAAGATGGGCTCTTTGAAATTTTTTGCCTGGGCTGGCCTCCAATCTCAATCTTCCTGATGATCTCTGCCTCCCAAGTAGCTACATTATGAGCAGAAGCCAAAAAGTTCTTGACTTACAAAATATAAATATGATACTTCTTAGGACACATAAATTAAGTTCAACCACACCAAACTGGCTTAATTTAGAAATTCCAACTGCCAATTTATAGTTGCAAAAGAAACTTGTTAACCAAAGTCTTGTGGGAATACGTTAAAGGGTAATAAGGCCAATATGTTTACCTTGTTTAAATTCTTCTACCATTACTGTTCGAGTTGATGTGGATACATTATATGTAGAATTCTGTTGTGGGTAGGCAGGGGTGATTATGGGCATGAGATGGTATCTATCTGATGGATTTACCTGTGAAATTAGAAGAGGAATAATTAATATCTCATTTCAGATGTCCTTATTTCATTTCCCTAAAGGTTTGAAGAATGAAATATAAATCTAATAGTTTATAAACTCAATTCTAAGAAGTATATTTTTCTTCCCCCAACTACATTTCTTTCTTGTCAGATAGTCATAGTCAAAAGGATTGCACTTTGTTTTTCCTTGGAAAAGTTGTTAAACTGATGGTGCATTATAAACAATGGTCTTTTAGAATCAAAAAAATATACTATCATTAACTACTAAAAGGATTATCTAGTCTTAGGGCACTCAATCTTTTCTCTGCACTACTTCAGTGATGGCTTTCCCTTGTCTATGAAGAGGAATGACCATTCACTCTACAACCAAATTAAATTCAATACATATATAAGAATTATGCTATTTTAGAACTATGAATCTGCTTTAAACTTCATTGAAAAATAAAATTTTTATATATCTTATTGTAAGTAATTATTAGGCAGTTTTTCTACAATGGATTATAATACTGTTGATGGTTTATCCCACTCAGCTAGTCTTATGATTTTTTTAGTGACGTAACATTTCATCAGCATTAGAGATCCAAGTCATCTGAACCCAAAAATATAGCAAATAAAGTATAATCGCCATACAGAACAAAAAGAAGGAATAAGAATCTTTAGCTGGTGATGGGAGAAATGCCTTCTTCCTAAAAGATTTAATACAATTCCATAGTAAGTCACATACCCGAGGATCCCAGACAGGCAAATTCAAATTGCTTTCTTCTGGCTGTTTCAAGAGCACAGGATTTGGCCATTCCCTAACACAAATAAGACAAATTAAGCTCATATACAGTCACATTTGACATGCTACACAAAATACTAAAATCATTAGATAGTTCTAATCTTCATACATCAAAAAGAAAAAATGGGCACCAGAAAAAAAGACAAGGCTATTTTGAAGTAGTAATCTCTGAAAAGGCAAATACAGTACTTTGCTTATGTAATTCATCTTCACCGGAATCTCTTCCTTCTCATTTACTTTCATGGATTTAATTCTGATAATTTAGTAGCAGCAAAACTAACATTTGTTGAAAATACCAGCAAATCAATGTCATAGTTATGACTATCATTTCCACTCAAACAACTTCTACAAAGTTGATGAATGTGCGCAGTCAAATCTATAATAATTACTCAAACTAAAGCTCCACTATATTTTTAAAAATATTTTTTCCTTCTTTTTTAAAAATTAATTTTATTCATGTCTTGTCCATATGGTACTGAAGAATTGAACCTAGGGCTTCATGCATGCTAGGCAAGAACTCTACCACTAAACTACATTCCCAGCCCGAAAGTCCGTTGTATTTATAAGCCCTGGAAGAAAGTATCACACAACTTAGCTATTAAAAAAATGGGATGAAGCTGGGCTTGGTGACTCAAGCCTATTTAATTCAACTATTTTGGGATGTGGAGATAGGGGTATGGTGGTTCAAGGCAAACCTGGGCATAAAAATTCATGAGAGGCCAGGTGCCAGTGGTTCATGCTTGTAATCCTAGCTGTATTCAGGAAGCTGAGATCATGGTTCAAAGACAGACCAAGCAGGGAAGTCCATGAGACTCTTATCTCTAATTAGCTACCAAAAAACCAGAAGTGGAGCTGTGGTTCAAGTGTTATGAATGCTAGCCTTGAGAAAAAAACAAACAAAAAAAAATAGGGAAAGTACCTAGGTCCGAAGTTCAAGCCCTAGGACTGGCATGTACAAGTGCACATGCTTACATATACCCACACCCAATTCATGAGAGTCAATCTTGACTAGGTACAGTGGTGTGTACCTATTTTCTTAGCTATGAAAACAGCACAATGGCTGGGTAAGCCTGTTATCCCCAGTGACACAGGGAAGTATAAATAGGCAGATTACAGACAGGCTGACCTGAGCAAAGGGAGACCTCCCTTGAAAATAATCAATGCAAAAAGGAGCTAGAGGTATTAGCTCAAGTGACAGAAGGCCTGCCTAGTAAGTGTAAGATCCTGAATGTGCTGGGCGCCGGTGGCTCATGCCTATAATTTTAGCTACTCAGGAGGCTGAGATCTGAGGATTGAGGTTCAAAGCCAGCCTGGTCAAGAAAGTCCGTGAAACTCTTATCTCCAATAAACCACCAGAAGTGGCGCCATAGCTCAAGTGGTAGAGCACTAGCCTTGAGCAGAAGAGTTGAAGGACAGAGCTCAGGCCCATAGTTCAAGCCCCATGACCAAAAGAAAAAAAAAAAAAGACCCTGAATGTAATTAATTCCTAGTATTCCTGTACCCCAAAAAGGAGAGGGGAGGAGACTAGAGCTTGTCTTTTGTGACAATATGGATGAAACTAGAGGCCATTATATAAACTGGAATAGGGCAGACATAGAAGACAGAAACTACATGATCATATATTGTACTGATCTTATAGAAGGACAGAATATAATAGTAGTTGCCAAGGATGGGGTGGCAGACTATAGGTAATGTTGAATATACTGTCTACTTAATTTTAAAAAGCTGGATGCCAGTGGCTTACAGCTATAGTCCTAACTACTCAGAAGGCTCAGATATGAAGATCATGGTGCCAAGCCAAGTTGAATATGAAAGTCTTTGAGACTTATCTCCAATTAACAACAAAAAGCTAAAAATGAAATTGTAGTTCAAGTGGTAGAGCACTAGTTGTGAGCAAAAAAACCTCAGGGAGAGCACTCAGGACCCAAGTTCAAGCTCTAGGACCAGGAAAATTTTTTTTTTTTAAGATTTTGAACATTTTTACCATAAAAAAATATGTTTGAGGAGATTCATATGCCTACCCTGATTTGAATAACATCCAATGTCCATATGTATCAAAACATCATGGTACCTTACAAATGTACAATTTTTGTTGTCAATTTTACAAAGAAAGAAAAAAAAAAAAGAACATGCCATGTAGGTGTTCCATAATTGCCTCAAATTTAGTAAAATTTTAAACTTTTAACTTATGGAATGTAAAAAACAGAAAGTCTTTGTATAGCCTTTAAATTTCCAGATGAATTTACATATAGGCAGAAGTGAGTCAACAGTCAAAGTACATATTTAGTACATATGTACATATACTTACCATTTGGAAAAAACTAAAAAAAACTTATGAACTAAAGTTGATGCTGCTGCATTTGGATACAATTGGCAAGTTCTGGCAACTAGCATGGCCCAGGAGACTCCACCAAGGAAACCCAGCATGTTGGAATAAATACCACGACCTACAAAATTAACATCTAATTACTGTTAGAATCTACTATTTTGGCATTCTATAATAACTGCTTTCTTTTTTTAAAATTGTTACCATAAAGGTGATGCACAGAAGGTTACAGTTACATAAGTCAGGTAAAGAGTACATTTCTTTTAATAACTGCATTCTTAAGATTGTATTTACTTTTTCTCTCTGAAAACATTGAAATCAAAGGGCAAAAATTTCATTCTAGGCTTATAATTGATTAGTAAACCAGTTTACTTGTAAACCACTTCTACTTTGCCCTCAGATACAAAATTTCAGTGACCTGCTTCGGAACAACAGATTTCCGAAATTAAACTGAAATTCTCTTTTTAATATCTGGGATTGAGGGAAAAATAAAAGGAAGGCGGAAACATCAGGAGATCCTATGAGAAAAATAAACATTTCCTAGTAATCACAATCATGGTAGCAAGACCAAGTATAAAGGTGGTAACTAACTCCAGTGATTTACAGAATTTGGATACCTCTCATTGCAGTAGAATCTAGCACTGATATTAGAATCATTTTTCATAATTGTGGCTACTATAATCTATTAAAATTATTACAATATGTCACTTAATTTAAAATGCTCTCATTTATATAAAGTGACATTATTTTATGCCTCTGAAAAGACCACTGTAATTTCTTGACATGTTAAATGTGAAAAATATACATTTAAAAACTGACAAAACAGTATTTAACCTGTAAGAAAAGATGAATTGTTCAGGTTATCCTTTCACTGCAAATCTCACAGACTTCCATGCTTGGGCTCATCTCTGAACTGCAATCTTCAGATCTCAACCTTCTGAGTAGTTATGACTACAAGTGTGAGCCACAGCAAACAGCTTTAATGAGATTCTTAAAAAGTTTGAAAAAAGAGACCTCTAGCAGTAAAAGGTGGTAGCTTGACCTCTTCCATCTTAGGAGCCACTCCACTATCTTAGGTCTTGATGTAAAAGCATGGCCTTTCTTAAAATCTGTGATACAGGCCCTTCCCTGAAATTAGCTGACTCAGGCCTTATCTTATTAGGGGACACAGGCAGCTACAACCATAAACCTTAGCCTAGCCACAACAAAATCCCCTGCTCTCATGCACCTCACAAATTCCATGTCTCACACAAACCAGACTGCAGAGTACCCTCCTGCCCCTGGTAAAATTCTCCACTCCAAGCCCCCTAGCCATATAACCTCTTGCTCAAGAACAAGTGCTGTCCCTGTATGGGAGGGTCAGCCTGTCAGCTTGTTGACAATAAACTTTGCTGTATGTGCCTTGGTGTCTGTGTGGTCATTGGTGCCTTAACTCAGATCTAGGCTCCCCTGGTAAGTTTTGCTCTTCCCCTTTGGGAATCTGAGCTGACCTGAGGACCTGGGGACCTGACAACCACCAAGGTGAATTCCTCCAGACCAAGTCCTTTCCTGCATTCGACACCGATAATTCACCCCTCTTTCATGGTGAGTGACAGTTCAGGGCTCAAAGCACAAGGGTAAAAGCTCAGCACTGAGTTCCAAGTCTAGCCCAGGAGGCCTAGGCTGCTCACTGGCTGGGATAGGCCAGGGATTGAACAACGGCAGGTGAGGAATCCTCTTGCTGCTTGCTCCCTCAATCAGTTGACCAGAGCTCCTCTGGGGAGGCCCATGGAAGCTCTAGCATCAACTCCCCACACTCATCTAAATGGAGAGGGGCTCCATCTAAAAATTCTTCAGAATTCTCCTCTAGGCTGCATAATATGAAGACTTTAAAGATCCTGCCTGACCTTAAGCCTCATAAGCTTATATGCTTATACAATCAAATTTGGCTCCAATATTCACTGGACAATGAGTCCATGTAGCCCCTTTTTGGGACACTGGATCCCAATATTTTACAGGATTTAACATAATTTCTATGAGTACTTGGGCAAATGGAGGGAAATCATCTATGTACAGGCTTTTCCTTTCTCTCTCTCTCTCTTTCTCCCTGCCCTCCCTCTGCCTTTCTGCTTGTGTCTTTGAGGGTTGAGACACAGGCTGGGTCCCAGGGATCCTCCTTTAAGTTTCCTCTCAAGGCTAGACACCCTGACTTAAATTCCCATAGCTAAAACCATCTCTCTATTTCTCCTTGAGTATACCCACATTGTTAACTGTGTTACCCTGCCTTTTTGTCTTTCTGCTTGCTTACCTAATAAAGTTTCACCAAGTCCTTCTCTGACCTCCACTACAGAGGCCCTCCACCATGTTCTCTTGCCCTGCTTACCAAGTCCTTCTCTGTCATAAGCCTCCCAGCCATCTCCTCAAGAAAGGTAACTGTCCTTGTATTGTAGCAAGCTCCATCTCTCCCTCCCCCTTCTTTCTGTCTATTGCTCTCTCTGATAACCTCCAAACTGGAGATTATTTGCCATTAAATTGCCTCCATTCCAGCCAAAGTTTCTCCGATTAAATGGCCAGTGGTTGCTCTAAGCCCTTTTTCCATCCTTGTTAAAAAGCAAAACAACCTCTCTCCCTCATGTAAGTTTACCAAACTGACAGCTTTGCAGTTTATCACAAACTTTGCTGAAGTTCATTGACAACCTTGAGGTTTATCATCAGCTGTACTGAGCTGCTGTATTAGCCAGAAATCCTTGCTAACAAAGTTGTTAATGAGATAAGGAAGAAAAAAAAGGGTGGGATATAATGAGTTTTACAAGTCAGAGCTTATAAAACAGTATAAGGAAAGGCTTTGGAAAGAGAATTGAGGAAATAGAAAAATGGTTTCCTTTAGAAGGATTTTAGAAAGTAAGAATTGTCTTAAAATGTTTGCTCAGAAGGGAGAAATTAAGACAAACCACAGAATGTTCAAGTTAGGAGAAGATGGTGTGAGTATGTGTTGAGTTTTAGGACAGCTTATCTTTGTAGAACACCTAGTGGCATCTACAATGCTGTTAATCTTATTTAGTAAATGACTAAATTGTTAAATAAGTTGTTTCAAACTTCCAACATAACTACTCTCAAGTCTTTTGTCATTGCAGACTTAATCCTCTGTAGCATTCATGTCAGACTCAGACAAAAGTGCCTGGCCAAATGCATAAAAGCAATCTCTTAGCCTGCAACTCTTTCACCGGATAACATTAGAATTTTATAATGTCATATAAAAGACTTGCGATACTTGCGTTTTGCCCATAATTTGACTGCTCTGAGGGTGAGTCTAAAAGTTTCTTTATTTGGTACTAAATGTAAAATCTCATCAGTAACTCTGCATCCTGAAAAAGATAAAACATTCATTTTTCACTATAAAATGAACTAGTTAATTCAAATGTCCCCCTCCCCCTTAGCTCACACTAAAAAAATGAAAGAGTAATATGGCAGAATTTATTTTGTCTGAGTATTTGAAATTTAGTACTTCTGTATTAGAAAGTATTTTGTTCTTGAGAAGTTAAAAACTGGCCAATTAAATTTATATTAAATAGAGATTAATTGGAGTACCATTTTGGTTTTCTTCCACATCTGACATTGTTAATCAAATGTCTCGAAGTTAAAAGACTATTAACTGTTCAAAACAAACTTCATCCATAAATAGTATGATTTACTGTTATATTCTGGAAGTACAGGAAGGTCTATGATCAACCAAAAGATATTCCAAAGCAGTGGTTCCTCAAACCCTGAGGATCTGTGAGGTTGCACCTATTTTATGTAAAAATCTAATACAGCCTTGTCTTTTTCACTATGTTAACATCTGCATTGATGGTGCAAAAGCAATGGTGGATAAAAGTGCTATTACTTTAACAGTGAATTAAGACATTGGTAACAAACTGTACAATATACAATACAACTTCCAGTAGACAAGAATATGTGTTATTATTTGAGTTGTTAGCTAGACCTTTTTTTTTTAATGGGAACATCAATTTTACTTAAAAGTATGATTGAAAAAGATGGAAGTTCAGTTAAGCACTCATCAGATATTCTATAATATATGAACTAAGTGAGCAACTCCAAGGAAAGTAAATGATATCATTTATTGTAAATAGTAAATTTAAGCTTTCAAGTTCCATAGAATTTTGCATGAAAACTCTTATCTGCCATTGTGAACTTGAAAACTTTCTAATAAATACTTTCCTGAAAAAAACTGGTGGGGACATTAATGAATGCAACAATTATAATAATAATAATAATTTGTTGTTGTTGTTGTTGGTCATGGGGCCTGAACTCTGGGCCTTGGCGCTGTCCCTCAGCTTTTCAGCTCAAGGCTGGCACTCTACCACTTGAGCCACAACACCACTTCCAGCTTTTTCTGCTTATTTGGTGCTGAAGAATCAAACCCAGGGCCTCATGCATGCAAGGCAGGCACTCTACCACTGAGCCACCTTCCCAGCCCTAAACAATTATTTTATAATGAAATGTGTGTTAAAATTTGGAAGATCTAAATAGCTTTGTGAACCAATATTTTCCAAATAGCTATGCACTGGTAAAAGTTCTATTTAAAAGACCAGACAGCCTATTTAATGTGATTGAATAGAAAATTTCCTTTACATGGTTTTTAGAATCCATATTCTAAAAAGAGAAAAAGGGTTGGTGGTAGAGTACCTGTCTAGCAAACATAAGGCCCAGCGTCCAAAATATAATTACTAATATGCATGAAGCTCACAAACATTACATTAAGTGGAAGATGAAAGGCAAAAGTGACCACATATGATTCCATTTATATAGAATGTCTAGAAAATGCAAATTTATATAAAGGCAGAGACTGAGGACTGTAAAGAGAAGAAAAATGTACAAAGAAAAATGTATCTTTTTATTTCTGAGAATTAAACACAAGCTCTCTCTTATTCCACCACTGAACTACGTATGCAGCCAACATCATTTTTTGAGTTAATTCCCCCCAAAAGTCCATTAATAGTTTTGCAAAAAGAGTCCTACTTGTCTAATTCTTTTCAAGGAGATACCTAACATTTCTTTTTAGAAGCTTACCATTTAAGCTGCGAATACACCTTATATCAAGGCTTCTGAGACGAGAGTCATCTCTTAGATCTAAATTATCTGATATAGTTTGTATTGCCAGTCTTGCAAAGACGAGATCAATCTTTGGAGTAGGTTAAAAAAAAGGAAAAAAAAGAAAAAAATTACATTTTCTCCTTCTAGTCAATCTTCCCCAATTCTATCTCAAAAATATGAAAAGTTCTAATTGATTTGAGAAGAACTAAAAACTGCAAAAGGACTGTATGAAGGCAATTATATGTGGGAAAGCCAGTAAAATGTTTCAAGGTAATTTTCAAATTAAGGAAAACATTTTAATTTTAGTATATATGCCTCTCCAAAATAAGCAAAAAGCAAAACCATCAAAACCTTATTTTTTTAATGTTAATTTTCAGAATGTTTATTTGAAATGTGCCTAATCTGAAACCATAATTGCCATATAACTGTTCTCCAAGGTATCAAAACCTTATATTTCTAGAATATGAAAAATTCAACATACATTAACATTCACTCTCTTGAAACCCAACTAAAATACCAGGAATATTTTGGAATTTTTTTGGTTCTGCTTTACTTTGCCTTGAAGGTAAAGTGATATAATGAGACAACAGCTAAAGTTATCAAAGCTTCAAAGTAGATAGGACAAGAGATAACAACAGACCCAGCAGACTAAGAGGTTTAAAAAAATATCTTATTCAGGAAGGACAAGCAGCTATGAAAAAAATAAGAAGAATCATTTAAAAAAGAATTCATCAGAAATTAAAAATGACAACATAAATGAAAAAACGAAACTATGTAAGACCAAAGTGCATCACAAAACTATAAAGATAATGGCTAATAAGTAGGATGAAATTTAAAACAAGCAAAGCAAAAAGACTATTTTCTGGAGACCCAACACACAAATGTTGTATTTCTAGGGGAAAAAAAGAGAGAAAGAAAACAAAGGCAGGAAATCCAATAGAACTCAATCATAAGTTCCAACAACTGAGGGACAAACTAGCACACTCACTGACTGGACTGATATAACATATATCCAATATATTATTATCATGAATTTTATAACTATGAAGACAAAAATATTGAGAAAGCCCTCAGAGACAAAATTTTTCATAAAGAATGAGAAATCAAAATGGCATCACGCTTTCTCAGTGCAACACAGAAACTAAATGCCAATGAAAGGCCTTTAAGTTCTGAGAAAAATCATTTCTACCTAGAATGTCATTCTCAGCCAAATTACAAATTTTGTGTAAGACCAAAATAAGACTTTTGTAAACATGCCAGATTTTAAAAAGGAAAGGAGAGAAAAGAGCCAGTTTTCAGGGACTCAGTGCATGAGCTCACAAAAATTTTAAAAATTTAAGCAAGTAAATTAAGAAGAAAATTCTAGAGAGAAGGAAAAAAAAAATTCAAGACGATACTCAATGAAGATGTTAAAATGACAGGTATATACACCATGATCACTTGGACTGAAACAGAGATTCAGTAATGTTTTTTTTCCCAAGATGATAATGATATAATTTAGCTATGAATCTAAACATATAAAAATCAAACAAATATGCTAGACCAATGGCTTCTAGCTGCTTGGGAGACTAAGTTTTGAGAATTGGGTTCAAAGCGACCACATAGGAAGCTCTGAGAGACTCATCTCCAGTTAACAGTCAAAAAAAAAAAAATCAGAGTTGGGCTGGGAAGGTGGTGGCTCAGTGGAAGAGTGCTTGCCTTGCATGCTTGAGGCCCTGGGTTCAATTCCTCAGCACCACATAAGCAGAGGAAAAAAACCCGGAAGTGGCATTGTGGTTCAAGAGGTAGAGCGCTAGCCTTGAGCTGAAGAGCTGAGGGACAGCTCCCAGGCCCAGAGTTCAGGCCCCAGGACTGGACCCCCCCCAAAAAAAATCAGAGTGGAACTGTGGTTCAAGTGGCAGAGCACCAACCTTTAACAAAAATACTAAGGGACAGTACCTAGGATCTGAGTTCAAGGCTCCAGTACTGGCATATACACACACACACAAAACAAAATTGCAGAAAACAAAATATTAATTTCCAAGGAAACAATGTCACATAGCAAAAAATGATAATCTATTATACTTAGTGCTCAGCTTTTAATACTACTTAATATGGTCCATTACTCCAATAAAAATACTATTTATAAGACCATAATACTGTAAATATAGAATATTACTCCAATAAAAAGTACAATTACTTTTAGGAGATCATGGAAATGAGAAAGGTACAGATAAAAATCATGAAGGGAAGGATAAGATGGTTCATTTTTCATGGTAAAACATCCACAGAAATAAGAAAAGAGAAGATGAAAGGCTATTTACAGATTACTATTTAATTCTTTAAATTATGTGCCTAGCACTGGGTAAGGTGTTACAAGCCTATTCCAGCACTCGGGAGGCTGAGGCAAGAGAACTGAGTTCAAGAAAACATAATGGGACCACATATGAAGACTATTACAACACCACCAACAACCAAAAAGAAAAGCCTATGTTAAATCTAGTTTAAATTGAAAATAACTTACAGATCTATTATTTTAACTGTAAAGTCAGAAAAATATTAGCACTTACTTCAATACCATCAAATTCAAATTTTATAACAGGTACAAAAGCATCTTCAACAGCCTGTGAAAGAGGAAAACAATTATAACAATTATTGCCTAACTACAAACAATGTGAATATACTTGTTCCAGTTTATATTTTAACTCAATAAAAAGTGAAAATGTCAACATTTTTAGGATAAGGCGCTTAATTTTGTAATCTTAATTAGTCAAAAAATACAAAGTAACTAACGACAGTAGTTATCTTGACATCCTAAAATATTTTGTTGGAAATTGGAAGGCAGAATTGCTATCATCTAGGTACGTAAAACTGATATCACAATTAACATGGGTATAAAAATTAAAGACAATAGTACTCATGACTAATCTATCAAAAAATATTTGAAAAACTAAGTTCACTACTCAACAAATTATTGGTATTGAAATTTTATCTAATGAATGGAGGGATACATACATATATGTATATATATGTGTATATGTATAGATATGTATGTGTGCATATATGTATACACACAAACTAAACTATACATATATAGTATTCACAAGTTGATATGTATTAGCAATTCAGATTAAAAAAAATTTTTTTTTTTGTCGGTTGTGGGACTTGAACTCTGGGCCTGAACGCTGTCCCTCAGCTCTTCAGCTCAAGGCTAGAGCTCTACCACTTAAGCCACAGCACCACTTCAGCCTTTTTCTGTTTATGTGGTGCTGAGGAATTGAACCCAGGGCCTCAAGCATGCAAGGCAAGCACTCTACCACTGAGCCACCTTCCCAGCCCCCAGATTAAATTTTTTAAAAACCTTAAAGAAATTATCACCACACCTCTATTTATAGATAAGGAAACTGAGTCTGAGAGAGACAGGTAAAAAGGATTAAGACTAAAAGTATAGATTTTTAGCTCATGTAACTGTAACCCCTCCTCTGTACAGTATTCTCACAATAAAAAACTTATTAAAAAAAAAAGTATAGATTTTAAGGCTTGACTCAGAGCCTGGGCACTATCCCTTAGCTTTCTAACTCAAGACTAATGCTCTCCCACGTGATCCAGTTTCCCAATCGTTTTTTGTGTTGGTTATTTTTGAGATAGAATCTTGTTTTATGCCCAGGCTAGATGATGAGGCTCCTATATATGCTTCCTTTTGTTGCTAGGATCACAGATGAGTGCCACTGTGACCAGCCACTGTGCTTCTCCGTGGCTTGGCACATATGACAGGCACATATTATCCATACTCAATCACTGGCTGGGAGGAAGTCTTAAAAACTTTCATACCTAGTTGACTGAATCTTGATGCTTTCTCTGATCTCTGCCTCCCTAATAGCTAGGTGACAGACATGCTTAAGCTAATGCATCTGGATGGTATAGCTTCTTAAGAGGTATTTCAATAATCTCAAGCCCTAGCTTCTAGAGTTATTTGTTACAAAGTTCAAAATATTAAATGCTGGAGGACACTTACTCTTAGGTTTCTAATCCCATCTTGATGTTTCAGTTTTTCAAAAAAAGACTGAAAAAAATCAGATCTTTCCACATGTCTTGGAGCTACACACAGTGCATCAATGTCAGCTCCTACAAATCAAACTATATCTCATTAAAAGAGTATTATGTATTATATTTCATCAAAGTTTACTTTAAACACAAATAGAACAAAATATGAAAGGTAAGTATAAGAAAATGTTAACAATGATTAGCTCTTAATAGAAAGATAATGATTATGAAAGATTATAGAATGATTATGATAATTATTATGAATAATTATAGAAAGGTAATTATTACAGATAATGATTAGCTTTTAACAGAAAGATAATGGGGTTTTCTCCCCTATATTTTCTAACTGTGAGCAACATTATGAGTTTATTGGGAATTCTAATTACTAAAAATAATAGAAAAGCAGTTACCTTTGGTGTGTACTCCCAGTCTGTAGGATCCAAATGTGAAAATTTTACCACCCACAGTGGCTACAACAGAAGGTGGAAGATTCTAAAAAAAAGTTAGGCAAAAGTTAATTATTCAAGTTATCTTGCGTGAAAAGCACCTAATGCTAACTGAATTTTGTTACACAATTTGTGGCACACTTGTTAATCTTGATGAGATTTATAAAAGTACTTTAAGGCTCTTTCAGTTGCGACTTGAAATAAAGAGGCTGTTTCTAGAGGGAAGATAAAACAAATTCATGCCCATGGTTCATGCCCACCTCTCTATCTTCAAGCATTTTTTTAAAAATCACTTGGTCCAACTTTTAGTCTATCTTTTGTTTTATTACCTTGAAGTGTAACTGAGGAACTCTAACTACTAAACCAGTGAGCTTTCAACTTAGTTTCTAAAACAAAACTCTCATTACTGAATTATTCTATTATACAGCTACTCTTTTCAAAACTTGACAGTTCATCCTCAACCCCACATGACAAAAGAACATACTTTATTAAAATCAAACCCATAAAAGTAAGGATTATACTTACCAGGGTTCATTAAAAAACAAACTATAAGGATAGTATGAATTTGGGGGCTTACTACTGAAAAAAATCTCCTTTCTGAAGCTCAAACCACCAATTTTTCATAATCCAACTTCCTTTCCATTGCATTTTCTGTTTGTCTGCTTCTAACATTTGTTCATTCTCATTGTAGTATTATCCATTTTCCAAAATTCACTTTAAGTTCAGGCTCTTCCATCAAACCACCTCTGATTATTCTTACTTTGTAGCTCTTTTTCCTGTCCTCTTCTACCATTATAATCTTTAAATTCTTTTACCCTACATGTACCTACATTTTAAACTATGTTGCAGTTCTTCAACCATATTTAAATTGCTCAAAGGTAAGAAATTTATCTCCTATTACTCTCTATTTCCCTATAATACCCAACAAAAAGTTCTGCAGAATAACTGATGATTAATGTGAATAAGCCATGCTACTTTTGTCACAATGAATATTAATGTTTCAGGAGTAACAAATTTTATAGGCAGAAAAGAGAAAATTTACTGATGATTAACATAAACAAAAAGCAGGAGCTAGGGCCTTAAAAAAAACAACTCTTGGCTTTCATTCTATTTTGAAAGATATGATCCTTGCATGATGTATTTTAAAGTAATATGCTGAATCACAGGATATAATAATATAATAATAACAGGTTCGATGTTAATAGTTAACAAAAATGATTTTTACCATGTCAGAGAGAATTGAGAGTGGTGGGGGCTATATGAGGCACATGAGGGCATTCAAACTTCTTTCTGCTGTGTACAAAAGCAAACCTAATGTTGCCAGATCTGATACTTCATAAGAAGTGTGAAATCTGGCTTTGCAACTAAAATATCCTAGTATTTAACATTTTAACTTTACTACATATGGGACAAAGAAGACTTTTATATGGATTTGCAGCTATAATTGGCTATGCCTGGAATAAATCTTTATCTATTTAGATATTAAATTGTTTGAAACAGTTCATTCCTAAATATATCAGAGAACTGAGGAGTTGTTTGTATTGGTTCAATGTTCTTTATTATAAAATTTTTTATTATAAAACCAACAGACAGCCATGAAATTATAGCTCAAAATAAGTAACTTAAAGGAACTACAGATCCTGACAATAGGTATCAAAATCAAAATCAAAATCAAGCTAGGTGCTAGTGGCTCACATTTGTAATCTTAGCTACTCAGGAATCTGAGATCTGAGGATCACGGTATCAAGCCAGCCCAGGCAGGGAAGTCCATGAGACTCTTATCTTCAATAAACTACTCGGAAAAAGCCAAAGTGGCACTGTTGCTAAAGTGCTAACCTTGAGAAAAAGTTGTTCAGGCACAGAGCTCAGGCCCAGAATTCAAGCCCCAGTACCAGCACCGAAAAAAATAAATAAGTAAAATTAAAAAATAAATCAAAGGATTGAACCTATATGTTTCATTTGGTAACCAAGTTGTACACCCTATTATTCAGGAAAATGAATAATACCCTTTTGTAAACATGAATAAAAGCATCCCACCAAAGAAGTAAATATGAATACAGATATATATATGCATGAAGTGTTACTTGATAAACACATATCCAGAGCTGAGTTTTAAGGTATTTCAGATAATCCTCCATTCTTGTAACTTGTTGTTTAGATGAATACAAGAAAACACAAAATTTCATGTAGTTCAGTCTTACCTTACTCTCACTGACATCAGAAATCCATTCTTTTACTAAGTTATTCAATTTACCAAGAACAACAAGCCTGTAATTAAAAAAAGTAAAACTTTAGATATAAACTTAAACATGCAGACAGTACCTTTATATTGGTGCTGGGATAAAAGCATATTATATATGTGCTAATGATATCACATCTGTTGATACACAGCAACATCTTTGACATTCTCTGGCACCTTAAGAGTGTAGAGGATGGTAAACAAGATGATACTACTATGATCTTAAAGCTATTTTCACAACTTAAGAAATTTAATACAAGTTACAATACATGAAGTTACTTTCAATGGGACTGTAAATGCCAAGTGAATTGTCAACTTTTTTACTACACAATTTTTTCAATTCAATGTGGTGTTAAGGCTAGAATTTTCTTATTGATAGTCATAGGTTTTTGGATAATTAAAATGGGTAAATTATTGGTTAATTTTTATTAAATATTACTTAACTAGTTCAGAATTCTGTATTATTACAACATATTGCAATTCATTGTATAAAGAATCACGTTAAAAACAAACAACAACAACGATGATGATGATGATGAAAATGACTATGACGAAACCCAGCTGGGTGCTGGTGGCTCATGCCTGTAATGTCAGAAGACTGAGATCCGAGGATCACAGTACAAAACCAGCTGGGGCAGGAAAGTCCATTGAGACTCCAATCTCCAATTTACCACTAAAAAGCCCAAAGTAGAACTTAGGCAAAAATGGTAGTATGCCAGCTTTGAGCAAGAAAAAGCTCGGCCTCAGTGCCCAGGTTCTGAGTTCAAGCCTCGTACCCACACAGACAAGAAAAAAAAAAATATATGGGTTAGGTAGCTCAAAAACAGCATGCACAATTGAACTTCTTTCTAAACTTAGTTCTCTTCCATCTTTCCCAGAAAATGGAATTCCATCTTTCAAAAGTGATGTGATTAAATGCTTAATATCACCTTCCCCAATTTTTTTTTCTTACATTTCTAGTAAGAAACACACTACCTCTAAAACATACCTAGATCATACCTTCTGAACAACTCTACCATTAAAACATATCTGGAATTTAGTACCACTTATCACCTTCATTGCCTTTCTCCAGGTTCCAGACACTATCATTTCCTCCTTGGGTCATTATAGTGGTTTTTCTTACAGACTATTCCCAATACAGGAGCCACAGTTACTATGTTAAAACATAAGTCAGATCTTGTCAATCTTTTATTCAAACCCCTAATAACTACTTTTTTTCCAAAACTTCTATGATGCCTTACAAAGTCCTAAGTGCCCTTGTCCTCTAAGCTCCTTCTGACCTCACTAAGCCCAAATTGCCCTCACTTGCTCTGCTTCAGACAACCAAGATATCTTCCTATATACTCAATCATACCAATTATACTCTCCCTCAGGCTTACGGAACAGAAAATTCTTTATCCACACAATTCCATCACTCACCTTAAATGTCTCTTTTGGGTGTGTGCATGCGTGCTTACTTGCGTGTGTGTGCGCACGCAATTCCATCACTCACCTTAAATGTCTCTTTTGGGTGTGTGTGTGTGTGTATTTCAGTACAAGGGTTTGAATTCAGAGCCTCATTTTTGCTAGGAAGGTCCACTACTGCTAAGCCATGCCTCCTGCCATTTTTGTACAGCTAAGGATCTGGACTGAGATATTTCTATTTTAGAATTTCATTGTCCACAGGATGACAGGCATACAACAACATGCCTTCCATTGACATGAAGTCTTGCAGACTTTTCTGCCTGGGCTGGCCTAGAATCCCCCACTCCCTCTAGCTTAGCATGACAGACATATACCATCATTGCCCAACTATAGATTGAAGTCTTGTGAACTTTTATGTTCAGGCCATTCTCAAACTGATTCTCCTACTCTCAGTCTCCCAAATTGCAAGGATTATAATCCTAACTAGTATGAGCCACTGGTGCCCAGCAAATGTCATTTTCTTTTCTTTTTCCTTTTTGATTCAGGGCCTGGGTATTGTTCCTGAGCTTTTAAACTCAAGGCCAGCACTCTACTACTTGAGTCACAGCTCCACTTCCAGCTTTTCGCTGGTTAATTGGAGACAAGAATCTCACTTTTCTGCCTAGACTGGCTTTGAACTGCCAATCTTGATCTCAGCCTGCTGAGTAGCTAGGATTATAGGTGTAAACCCCTGGTACCCAACTAAACGTTATTTTTGTATGAGACCTTTTTTGAAGAACTCTTTTTGTCACTGCTGCATTCTAGACAGGGACACAGTGGGCTCGCAATACACACACACGCATGCACGCACGCACGCACGCACGCATGCGTGCGTGCATGTTGAATTAATGTTCAATAGTTGACAGTTTTCAATGACTTACCTGTGGTTCAATTCCTCCTCATCTTCAAACACTCCAAATGGTTTCATGGCATCAATTAATTTCTGTGTGTAAATATGGTCAATTTCTTTAGGACATGCCAAACTTATTGGAGAAGTTATTCCATAATGCTTTTGTTGACGCTGGCTGTCCAGCATGGTATTTCTGTCCAAGAAAAAGAGAACAGCAAAAAAAAAAAGTATTATATTATACTAATGTATTGCTCTCTCATTCTATTCATTTTATCTGAACTACCTTTGTTGTACTAACAGTCAAGACAGGCACTTAAAAAAAAAAAAAGAAAACTAAGTATTTTGTATCTATGTTTATGAAGAGGAGGTATTCATCTTATCTCTAGTTTTCATGTTTAGGATGTCTTTTCAAGCCCAAAGCAGCATATGTTGGCATCAAGATAACTGTACCAATACTACTCAATACTACTCATTAAAAAGCACTAACACTACTCAGTTCAAATGTGCAGAGCCTGAATGGAAACAGGGTAACCCTAGTATACCCTGCAGACTTGAGATGTTAAAATCTTTGGAAAGCAGTTAAAAACCTGAACAAAACTTATGTAAAAACAATGCTTTCTTTTCTCCCAAAAAAAGGAACAAACATCCATCAAAAAGCCCTTGTGATATAATCTGGCTTTTAAAAAGTAAACACAAACTAGATTATGTCTTTGGGAAACCTACATTAACATCTTTTGTTTGAGTAGAATGTCTAGTCCTATTTCTTTTTGCTGGTTTGGGACTTAGACTCTGTCCCCAAGCTTTTTTGTGCTCAAGACTAGTGCTCTACCATTTAAGCTACACTTCCTACTTTTGTGTGTGTGGTTAGCTGGATACCAGTCTCCTGGACCTTTCTGCTCAGGCTAGATTCAAATTATGATCCTCCTGAGTAGCTAGAATTACAGGTGTGAGCCACTGGCATCCTGTTAGTCCTAATATTTTGTGGTTCTACTTAATTGTTCTCTTCATTTTAGACCTATACGCATACATAATTTTCAAAATGAATAATTACATTTTTTAAACTCTAAATGGCAACCTTTTACAGGATACACGTGACCTACCTGCTACAGTCCCTAGACAGCAGAGTCTTGAATAATGTGCAACAAAATTTCTGAGCCTTGGGGTTTATATAGGTAATCATTTCAAAGTAAATTTTGGGAACAAGATCTGGTAAAATTTTATTTTGCTATGCAAGTACAGTTAAAACAAGCATATACACTAACCTACAAACTCTACTATATATCTTAGTAATGCTTTTATGAAGGGCCTTTAACACCAGCAGTATTAAGATATTGAAATGTAGTCTTTTAACTTGAATAAATTAGCCTTATTTTTAAAAAGTGCAGAGAGATGGAGACAGGAATGTTAAAAGGCCAGGCATGGCAGTCATGACCATAATCCCAGCCACTTAGGAGGTTGATGTTAAGAGAATCCAGAGGGTCAAGGGTAGCCTGGGTTACACAGTGAGATCCTATCTCATTTGAAAACAAACAAGTTAATTGGTGAAGGGGTGAGGTTGGAGGACTAACATATTTTATTCTACAGCAGTCTAACTGTAATTGTCAAAAATTGTGTACTTCAAAATAGTGAAGATGTTGAGTGTTCCCAACAAATGTCTGAGGCTTTGTTTTTGGTTTTTTTTTTTTTTGGGGGGGGGGGGCAGTCATGGGCTTGAACTCTGGGCCTGGACATTGTCCCTCAGCTCTTTAGCTCAAGGCTAGCACTCTACCACTTCAGCCACAGCACCACTTCACTTCTGGTTTTCTGAGTGGTTTATTGGAGTTAAGAGTCTCAATGTCTTTCCTGCCAGGACTGGCTTTGAACCTTGATCCTCAGATCTCAGCCTCCTGAATAGCTAGGATTACAGGCCTGAGTCACCTGGCTGGCTGAGTTTTGTTTTTTGTCAGTCATGGGGCTTGAACTCTGGGCCTGAACACTGTCCTTCAGCTCAAGGCTAGCACTCTACCACTTGAGCCATTGCGCCACTTCCGGTATTCTGAGTGGTTTATTGGAGATAAAGAGTGTCATGGACTTTCCTGCCCAGGCTGGCTTTGAATGGTGATCCTCAGATCTCAGCCTCCTGAGTAGCTAGGATTACAGGTATGAGCCACCAGCCAGACAGATTTTTAACTTGTCAAAAGCATTGGGAGCTGAGGATATCGTTCAGTGGCATATGGTTTGCCTAGCATGTTTCTTTTTTGTTTTTGTTGTTGTTGTAGTTGGTCATGGGAGTTGAACTCTGGGCCTGAGTGCTGTCCCTCAGCTCTTCAGCTCAAGGCTAGCACCCTACCACTTGAGCCACAGTGCCACTTCTGGCCTTTTTCTGCTTATGTGGTAACTGAGGAATCAAACCCAGGTCTTTATGCATGTGAGGCAAGCACTCTACCACTAAGCCAACTTCCCGGCCCCACATTTTTGATTCTTAGTACCAAAAAACCTTAAATCTCACACTAGCTTTTGCATTACTAAGTTCACAAACTAAGACATTTTAGTTAATCATTAGGTAAGGACAGAGATTCAAAGAGAAGATAAAATAACCTTATATCTTCTAAAATGATTCAAAAAAACAAAAGGAGAAAGAGTATCAGGAATAGTTATTTTCTCTCCAATATTTATTTTGCTGTGGAACAAACAAAACTTCAATTAGTCATTTTAAGTTGTATTTTTCTTAAAGATGTGGCTTTACGCTGTATGGTATTTTCACACACACACACACACACACACACACACACACACACACACAAAGATAAAAAGAAAAAAAGAAAAAGATGTGGCTTTATATTCCTGAGTATTGTTTGTCCATATACATGTCCATACATGATATAAAATCATTCGATTACATAAAAATCTTAAAAAAAAAAAAAAAAAAAGCCCAAAGAGAGATAAGTTCTCAAATGCTAATTATGCTACAGGTAAGAATGCGAGAAAAAGCCCAATTTGGAACTCTAAAATCTCTTCCCACTAGTCCAACTATTTCAGTTCTGACAAGCCTTGTCTCAATTCCTTCTCTATATGCTCAGAAAGTTGGCTATCTGTAAGTCCTTGCTGGTCCTCAAATCTAGGGTTCTGAACGTTATCATCTACTTGGGGCGGAGGGGGAGCAAACAACATATCCCCCTGTCCCTTCAACCCACCAATTTCACTAATAGAGAAAATCTATCGAGTAGTCCTATAAAAGAATGTTCACTGTCAAGTGCTAAAAGTAAACATTTTGAAGTAAATAAATAAATAAGATAGTCATGTAACAACCACCCGGCCCCTGTGGACCCGGCTACTAGAGGGGGCGAGGCACCAAGCCCCACACGGTGAGCTGTCAAGAAGTGATTGGACAGTGGACACCTTGGGGGAGGGGCATGAATGGCGGTTGAAAAACCGTTAGGCAGTTGACCCGTTAGAGTGGGGGAAGGGCACAGCTTATATATAGGGGAGTGTGTAGAGAGGGGGTGGTGGTGGAGAGAGAGAGAGACAGCAGGAGGGGAAAGTCAGGAGTGACTGGAGCAGAGCAGGGCAGGTCTATGGTGAGGTCTCTAGAGAAGCCTGTGGAGAGGCACCTGCCGGAGCACAGCAGGGAAGGCCTGTGGAGAGGCCTGCAGAGGAAGAGGAAGGAAAGAAAAGGAAAACCCTTCCTCTTTGGAGGTTTGGAGCTTTGGAGGTCTGAGGTTTGGAGGTTTGCAGGCTAACTAATAAAGGTCGGGGCTGTCCATTAGAGACTTGGAGGTTTGGTAGTTGAGGCTGCTTTTGGTTCTGGGTATCTAGCCCAGGACAAGGTAGTCACAGTTCCCCTTTCTGGTGTAGGGTGAATAAATTTGTTATCTTTAACCGTGCCTCGATGGATTGTCTCATTCTTTGGAGGTCATAATTGTCACTAATAGTTAAGCTACTAGAGTGTATATCTACAATGGGATACAACATATTAGTTAACATAGCTCAGAGATGTATGTTGTCTCTGCTAGCTTGCATGTAATACTAGATATGCAAGAGTCTGAGATCTGAGGATCACGGTTGGAATCCCAGCCCCAGCAGGGAAGTCCATTAAGACTCATCCAATTTACCACCAAAAGCTGGTAGTGTAACTGTGGCTCAAGTGGTATAGCACCAGCCTTGAATGAAAAAGCTTAGGGACAGCGCCGAGGCCCTGAATTCAACTCCCAATACTGGGGTGTGCGCGCGCGCATACAATTTAGGAATAAGTGATTACGACTTAGAGAAAGTTTAAAAACAAGCACACAGATGACAGTTGTGGACAGAAGCACATATTATAGCCTAAAACACCCACAGCAACAATACAAATCAAATTCAGGGCTGTGGGGACCTCTGGATTGGGCCAATGAATGAGACCACAGGAGAGAGATGTATCTGGAACACGGACACCACGTTATCCTTGGGCAGAAATGGGTGGTGGCTACACAAACGGCAATATCTGTCATTCTCCGCATTTTTCTGTAGGTTTAAATGAACGCTGGGCTCGAACAAATTCTCAGCGAGCACGGAAACTGTTCCTGACTTATCCAAGTGTGAGCAGGGGGGTAGGGAGAACGGTAGCGATTGGGGGGGAGACGGGCGGGAGGCGGGGGGGGGGGGGGAAGGCTGAGATGCGCGAGGAAGACCTTGGGCTTGGTCACCGAGCAGCCATCCAGCCGTGGGCTGGGCAGGGTCCTTTCCCTCCCGGGGAGACGCGACCACAGCGGGGTCGGGCGGGCGGGCATGGAGGAGAGGAGGCCCGGGGGATGGGGGGAAGGGGGGGGGATGGTGTTTGCGCCAATGCAGGCAAACTGGAGCCGACCGACTCGGTCGGCGGGGTGGGAGCCGCGAGTGACCGACAGTTGCTCCCTGCGCCCCCTCGCCCTCCCCGTCCGGGTCGGAGGCCGGCCCGGGACTCCCGCATCCCCCAGGCGGGTCCGGACCGGGGCGGCCAGGAGAGGCGCCGGCTGCAGGGAAGGCGCCCGGGCGGAGCGGTCCGAGCCGGGACGGAGAGCGCCGGGGCGCGGAGCGGCGGGCGGGCGGGCGGGGCTCGAGGGGCAGGGCCCGGCACGCGCCGCTGCCCCCGCCCCGCCGGCCCGGCGCCCCCGGCCCACCTCTCCCACCGCACCGCCAACCGCCGCCCCCCGCCACTTACGCAGACATTTCTTTCATCGCTTCCTGCGTCTCCCTGTCTTTGGCTGTGCAGTCCGAGTCCCTGTTCTTCCTTTCTCCCTCTGTCGGCTTTCCTCCCGTCGCTCCGAGCTCGCTCCGCGCTCCCACTTCCGCGCTCACTACTGCTGAGGCACCCAACCGAGCAGTGAAAACACCACAAAACCGGCTCTATTTATGACAATACAGCGCGGCCGACGCCAATATGGCGGCCCTCTCCCAGCCTGCCTCTCGCCTCCCGTGGCCCCGCCTCCGCCGGCCTGAGCCCGCCCTCGGCCGCGCCTTTTCAGCCTGGGGCGGGGGCGGGGCGGGCTCAGGTGGCCCCGCCCACCGCGGCGGAGCGCTTGCCTCCGGCACGCTGGCGGAGACGCTCGCTGCGCGCGCCTCTCGCACACGCTGCTCGGGAGCCGCGCTGGGTGCGCTCCTTTGACGGGTCGTCTGTCAGTCAAGGTAAAACGCTCGGAAAGTAGTTTGCAAACACGTTTTTTTCACTGAAAGAATATATATATATATATATATATATATATGTAAAAGACCACAGCCTTTCCCGATTTTACCACTAATTTGAAACTCTTCCCACTCTCCCACAGTCAGAGCTAATCAGGCCACTTCTTGTCACCAGAGGGTCAGACTGCAGGAGGGTGAGACTTGGGCACACGTTATTCTAAGGGGTCTTCACTGTCACTGCGATCGTTAAGTGCCACTTCCCTCCCCCGTTCACAACCTTCTGGCACTTAGATTGATGGGGATTGAAAGGAATCGCTACCAGTTTACCATAAGAGAAATCAGAGACGGAATCAAACTCTCACACTTTGCAATGGTGGAAATCATAGGCCATGCGGGGAAGGAAACCGTGGGCAAACGACCAGCTTAACGATGTTAGAGGTTAGGAGTACTGTCAAATACGAAATCCTTCCCAGGGAACGGGTGCCAAAAGCTGCTTATTCTTGGAATGTGAGTCAGAGGCACAGTAAATGCAGATTGCTTACTGAATTATTCATTTGTTCATTCACAAGTATGTATCGGAAACCTGCTCCGTGCCAGGGACTGTGTTAGGCTTCAGGGATTTACTGGTGCGTAAAACCAGATGCACTTTTTGACCTTATCAAGTTCATAGCTTAGTGGAGCAAGCAATCAGATATAAGTGGTATTCTGTTGTAGAGCTTTGTGCTGGGTACCGCAGAAACTTAATTCTTGCCCTCAAGAGTCCACTGTCTGGTAGAAGAGATGTTATACACAAATCATAAAGTATGATGGGTGATATGAATGAGATCAGTAATGACAAGGGAGGCACAGAGGGCCACCTAATCTGGGGGTGTGGGGTAATGGTGGTTTCCTAGAAGAGAGGGTGCTGCTGAAATTAAAAGATTTGGGAATAGAGATCAGATGAGAAGGCAAAGCCTATTCCAGGAGGCATAACATGGGCTTCAGTACAAGCGCAGACTTAAATTTGAATTCTAGTTTTGATGTTTACTAGTGTGATCTCAAGAACCTAAAATAAGCTTTTTTTTTTCTTTTGAGCAAACTGGGGTTTTATCACAAGTCTTCACCTCTGCCAGATAGGCAATCTACCATTCGAAATATACCTTCAGCCAGAGAACCTAAAAGATTTGTTTTTATATTAACCTTAAGAAAACTTTTTCCTTGGATGTTGTTTCCCTGCTGAAATGGAAAGACACAGATGGCTTTGCCTTTTATCCATTCAGCATCTCATCCTTGCCTGAGATGCAGACCTGATACTTGGAGTACAGCAGCCAACTTGTAATCGTGAGGACAAAGCCAGTGGTAAGGGTGGTGAACCCAGGGGATCCAGATGAAGCTGAGGTCTTTGAGGACATCATAGAATCATTGCATACCAGCTTTGGACTACTTGCTCCTACTTAGTTAAATCCCGCTTTTACCTGTAACCAAACACAACCCTAATGAACACTCATGTTTATCATCTTATTGATTTATTGCCATAAATGTTACAGTTTCAACATTTGTTAGAATATTAACCAATTTTGCAACAGCAAAAGAAAATACTCATCTGCCAAACAAAGAGAATTATAAGACAAGTAAGGAAAGTATGGATAGCCCGTAGGAATCTGAATTCAAGAATTCAGACATGTAAGAATTAGTGCTTTATTTCAAAACTTTAATTTTTATTCTAATCTCCACAATGCAATAGAAGACAGATAATCTTAATTTTTTACCCACTCTTCCCTCATTCTTGGGATGGTGCTTAAGGACTTTCAGGGATAGGATAGATTGTACATTTCTGATTCATGGTCACCTTCCTGTCTTCTTTGCATCTAAGTCTGGAGGGTCTCAGCTGCATTTGAGTCAGCCTGGGACTTAGGTAAAGGGCATGTGATTAGCTCAGAGAACCACAGAACTACAGTTTTTCTTTTGTTTTAATATTTTGCAGTGCTAGAGCCAGCCTGGGCTTTATAGAGTTTATCTTAAAAAATTATTGCAAGAGACTGAGGAAAAACCTCTTCACAAATTATTCATTTATCATATTAAGATCTATTAGGCTGTTTACTTGTTTGTAGGACAGGGGCTGTATCAGTGTTGTGTTCTAGTTCATTTTCAGAACTTAACATAAGTACTCAATAAATATTTGTTGAATGGATTTATTTTTAACTCATTTCTTTTCTAAATATTTTTCTTTATCTCTTCATCTACTTTTTGCCCCAATTTGTCAGCTATCTCCATATGCCTTCTCTTTACTAACTTAATATTTGGTGAGTCTGAATGTCATACAGTTATTTCATTGAAGCCTTTTCATCTCTAGACAACATTTCATTAGCTAGAAAATTCCTTTTTTTTTTTTTTTTTTTGCAGATGTAGCATGGTGTTTTTTATAGCATGATGTTGTTCACAGCCGTTTTCAGTAGATCATTATGGTGGTCATGACTAAAACGCATGTGTGTGTGTGTGTGTGTGTGTGTGTGTGTGTTGTTACTAGGGCTTGAAATCAGGGCCTGAAATCAGAGCCCTGATTTCACTCAAGACTCACTCTATACCACTTGAGCCACAGCTTCAGTTCTGGCTTTTTGTTGTCTGGCTTAGAACTGAAATCTTCAGATGTCAGGTTCCTGAGTAGTTAGGATTATAGGCATGAGCCACTAGCACCTGTTAACACTTTTTAAAGAATGAATAGGGCTCAGTGGTAGAGCACTTGCCTAATAAGTGAGGCTATGGCTTCTATCCCTAGCACTGTAAAAATACAACAAGCAAACAAAAGAATATTAAAGAATGAATGGAAAAATGTAATACCTTAGGTAGGATCAAAAACTGAAACTAAAACCAAAACATGGAAACCTAATGCTGGGGTTGCCTACAGATTGTGCCTGCTGGGACTAAGGTTTTTCCTTCTATCAGCGGGAGGAATAGTTCTCAAACTTAGCTTCCTGCATGATGGCTTTTTTTTTTGTTTTTATCCCTAGCAAAAAGGGGCTACAAATGCCTAAATATCCTCAGGTTCTGGGAAACTAGCTTTTCTAGACAAGTCCTATAAAAGTTGGAACCTAAGCTCAGTCACCTTGACTCTAAATAGTTTTTGTCCACATACTGATAAATATTTTCTAAAATTTTACTTTAAGAATTTATCTTATGGGGAGTAGAAGCATGTCTCTTCACTGGAACAACTATGAAAGACTCCTTTCTAACTTTGAATAACAACAAATAAGAAAAATATATGATTGAGTTTAGTCTCAATGGACACATATCTAGTTTTGCTCAATTGATTTTGAGCAAACAAGAGCTTGGTTGGATATTGACAGAAACGGATTTGGACCCCTCCCCCCAAAAAACCATATTGTTTTTTGTGGTACTGGGGCTTGAACTCAGGACCTTGCACTTGCTAGGTGGGTGCTTTACCACTGAGCCATGCTTCCTCCAACCATATATTTGATAGTAGGATCCAGAAGTAAGGAAGGGGGAAAAGAAAGCTGGCAATAATGACATACCAGCAATGAAGTTAACATTATGGAGGAGATGAGAATGTAATGAGGGAGTTGGAGTCATAGGTGAGGCTCTAATGTGAATAGATTTTTGGGCAAAGGACCCTACTCTTTTAGGTTTTATTCCTTTTTTTTTTTTTTTGTTGGTTGTGGTGCCTGAACTCTGGGCCTGAGCGATGTCCCTCAGCTCTTCAGCTCAAGGCTAGCACTCTACCACTTGACCCACAGCACCACTTCCAGCTTTTCTGCTTATGTGGTGCTGAGGAATGGAACCCAGGGCCTCATGCATGCAAGGTAAGCACTCTACCACTGAGCCACCTTCCCAGGCCCTTAGGTTTTATTCTTGAATGGCTAATTTGTGCTTTATTGAAACCTCAGCTCAGTATTCAGGATGTATGTCAGAAGAGGGAGGGAAACCCAAGCCTTGCAATTTCCTAAAAAGCCTCACAATACCTTCTTTTCTTTTTGATAATATTGGGGTTTGAATTCAGGCCTCCTATTCACTTAGCATTTTTGAACTATACATTCATCTCTACCTTTTTGTATTGTTTTTGGGGTGTGGTTTTTTTTGGGGGGGGGAGGTGGGATATAGAGTCTCACAGACTTTTCAGCCTAAGCTGGCTTCAGTTTACAATCCTCTAGATCTCAGCCGTATTATAAGGCATATATTCACTAGTATTATAAAGCAGAGGCAGGAGCACCTAGCTCAACCCACTTTCTTTTAACCCACTGTCATATTAGCCTCCACCGCTTTGCATTATGAATCTCTAGCACCTTTTAGCTTTGCACCCTTAACTTGTCTTCTCTCAGAAGTTTGCCTTCTATGGTTTATTTTTATTTTGCTAAGTTCCTTCAGCATTGAATTTTAATACAAATGTCTCAGTGTTTCTAATGTGAAATTTTTGTTGCTGATGTAGTTATAGTCAATCTTTCATATCCATAGATTTTACATCTGTGGATTCAACCAACCTGAGACTGAAAATATTCAGTTTGCACTGAACATGTATGGATTCTTTCCTTTGTTGCTATTCCTTACTATTCACATAGCATTGACATGGTACTGGAGGTTATAAATGATCCTCACATTTTTTAATTATATGTGAGGATGTACATAGATGATGTGGGAATTCTATGCCATTTTATATAAAGGACTGCAACATCTTTTTTATAATTTTGTCAGCTGTGGAGGAGGGGTTTCTGGTACCAATCTCTCAATAATGGGGGGGGGACTATTTTATCTGTATGATTTAAAAGGTACAAAGAAGGGGCCA